GCTTGAAGGATCACATCTTTCACATCAATTCAGCGGATGAATTCACACTGCTGTACATGGAACAGCATCCCAGCGAGGTGAGTAGAGTGCAGCTACGGGTTCCCTTTATTCGCACTTGATTCCTTTTGCAGTTTCCTGTAGCCGACGTTCGTGCCATTATGGAAAAGATTCGCACTGCGGTGCGTCCCGACTACAAGCAATTTGTGCTGCGCTGCAAGCCCGATGGCAATCTTGGGGACTACGCCACCATTGACTTTGATACCATGCGATCCACGCTGCTGTCGTATCTGACGAAGGAGTGCCTGCTGAACCATGAAATAGTGACCGTTTGTCGCTACTTCTCGGCTGAGCAGGCAATGCCGCCCAGCTGCGACAGGAACAGGGTGCGAGCGGCAGCACAGCTGGAGCTGAAGCGAGCTCTGTGGAACAATGTGGAGGAGCTGTCGGAGCACTTGAGCCACATCAATCCAACCTCCAAGCCGTACATCAGTGAGGCACGGGTAAGATCGACTCTGCGGGGCTGTCGGCTGCCGTTCAGCTTGGAGTTGGTGGAGGACATATTGCAGGTGCTGCAGCGCAATGGGCAGGGCGAGATCGAAGTGCGCGACATTCTCGGATTCTTTAACATGCGATGCGACCAAGTGCCCGACATAGCCCCGCTGAACATCGCCTTTGAGCTGTGCCCCAAGCTGCCATTCCTACACAAGGGCCGCCTGGTGGACTTCACCTGGTTCCTGGACTTTTTGGGCCTCGAGGAGGAACTCAAGCGGGCCAATCAGTGAGGTGTGTCCATCCGACGTGTCGGTGTTATCAAAATTGCATGTATATACAGAAAAAATTCGTGGCAATAAAATTTTCGGAATGGTGAAATCTGTGCTTAAGACCTAGACGATTGTATCCTACAGTTTGGACTCTGTGAGCCAGTTGAAAGACTGCGGCTTGCGATCCGACGATGGACTGATGGCCACATTGATAATGGTGGGCCTGTCCGTCAGCTGGTTGGCCGCCTTGATGGCCGTCTGCAGCTGCTCGATCTCCGTGCAGAAGTAGCCCTGCATGCCGAACATTTTCATCATTTCCTCGTAACGCACTTGAACCCCCAGTGCCGAAGGCGGTGTGCTGAAGTAGAAGATTAGATTAGCATTGAGTACAGCCCCGATAAGATCTTCTCTGCTTTCAACTTACATTTGGGTTAGATCGCCCTCGCTGCGAATGGCCTCAAAGGTGTCCTTGTCGAAGCCTCCGTAGATGCCATTGTTGTTCACAATCACAATGGTCACTGGCAGCTTGTACCTCACCATCGTCTCGATTTCCATGCCCGAGAAACCAAAGGCGCTGTCACCCTCAACGCAGAGCACACGCTTGCCCGGAGCAAAGTCGCGGCAGAACAGGGCAGCGGCCACTGCAAAGCCCGGACCCACACCCATGGTGCCGAAGGTGCCAGCATCCAGGCGATGACGTGGCTGTTCATTCAGGAGCATGGAACGTCCAATGTCCATGGTATTCGCACCCTCACTGACGATGATCGTGTCCTTGGGCAGCAGCTCCCGCAAGTGATGGAAGACAGCGTAGTAGTTGAGCGGCGTCGAGGTATTCAGCGACATCTGCTGCACTGTGTCCTTGTTCTGCTTGCACTTGACGGCCAGCTGCTTCCACCAGTCCTGCTCGTAGCCGAATCGGAAGTTCACGGCATTCATCTGCTCGAACAGCTGCTCGGCGAAGGGACGAATGTCCGACTGAATGGCCACCGACGAGATCACAGAGTTGTGCAGCTCCTCGGGACAAATGTCCACCTGAATGAACTTCACATCCTTGTCGTAGCGAGGCGAGCGTCCAAAGTGCAAAATCCAATTGAGGCGAGCGCCCAGCAGCAAGACCACATCCGCCTTCTGCAGGGCCAGAGTTCGGGCAGACGAGACGCACTGTGGAGCCGTGTCAGAGACCACGCCCTTGCCCATGGGTGTGGGCAGGAAGGGCAGATTTGTGTTCTCAATGAAATGCCTCAGCGTATTCTCAGCGTGAGCGTAGGCACTGCCCTTGCCAATGATGACCAGCGGGCGCTTGGCCTGTCGCAGAAGGCGGGCTGCGGCAATCACATCATCGTGCGGTGGATAGGCCATGGGGGGAGCTGGGTGGGCCAGCGCCTTGTAGATGCGGGCCTCGGGGGCCTTCGATTGCAAAATATTGCCGGGGAAATCCAAATAGGCCACTCCGGGTCGTCCATAGGTGGCATAACGCACTGCCTTCTCCACGTGCAGGGGGATGAGGGCAGCGGTGGGTGGACGAGCTGCATACTTGCAGTACGGACGGGAGAGCTCCACCTGCGGGCACTCCTGGAAGCCGCCGATTCCTTCATGATCCTGATTTGTGGCTCCGCCAATGACGATCAGAGGCCAGCAATTGACCTGCGCATTGGCCATGCCACCTAACCAAGGCAGTGTGTGTGTATGTATGTGTGATTAGCAAAATTCCAAGATGAATTTCTCCGTTTTCCATACCTGTCACGTGCAGCAGTCCCGGTCCAGATACAACCAAACAGACGCCCGGCTTGCCGGTGAGGTAGCCAATGGCTTGAGCTGCATAGCAGGCAGCCTGCTCATTCCGCATTCCAATGTACTTCAGCCCAGCGGCCTGGAAGGCCATCGACAGCTCGATGACGGGTATGCCAATGATACCAAACACATAGTCCACTCCCTGTTGACAAAAAGCAGTGATACATGGTTGAATGGGATGAGTTCAAAGTTCAAGGATTGGGTAAACATTTCCTCCTCTTAAGTTTTTAAATGCAAACACAAATATTTATCACCTCACTCCCTTTGAAAATATAACATTACAATTCGTGCTCCAATTTATTTGCCTACATTCGATTCTTAACCAAAAATGCAAACACGTTTTCAAGGGAATTGTTTGGAATCCGGTTGGGGGTTTATTGATTTTAATCTGGGGCCCCCAGGGAGATTATCGTAGGTGTTTGCAACAGCTCGTTAACTTGGTTCGTATGCGCAAACCTTTGGAACATTGTCTTTATCAAAAATCCGTTCGACTTTTATTAACAAGAATAATCAGGTAGCGAGAAACAACAACTACTTGATGTTTTTGAACTTTGCACAACAAACAGGTGCAAGATAAGACTCCATTGTTCTTGCTGCTGCCATTTGCAGTGGACCGACCCGGACCGACACCGACCCTCGGCTATTTTAATCAACGTCCATGGGTTAGCCATCTTAGATATGCCAACATGGAGATTGCACATTTTTCCGCCCGCATTGATATTGCAATGCAGAAAATGCATCCCAGACGTTGCGGGGGCTCTTACCTGTTGCTTCAGCGATTCCGCAATAATCTGCACGGCTTCAACGTCTGCCATTTTGTGTGCGTTTTGTTGTTATTGTGCTAAAAATGTATCAGGCGCCGCCGCGTTACTTTGCGAACTGGGCTAAAAATTAGTTAAACAAATTAAAATATAGTCGTCGGGACGGAACGCGGTGACCGCAAGCCGAGAGACCATATAATACCAAAAACGGATTTGAGGATTATTGTACTTTTTTCTGGTACAATACCGGGCAGAGGCTAGGGTTGTCAGATATTTAAGAAATATCATATCAGTGATGTATTTTTTTTTATAAATATCACAATGATATAAAATATATCACTGAAAAAATATTGATATATTAGCTCACACCTCTGGCTCAAAAGATTTCGCAGAAAGGTGATTTTCTAAGACGCCTGCATTTTTATACTGGTGCGGTAAACTATTATATTTTATTTTTGATTTTGATTAAGAAATTGTATTCTTGATATATTTCACAAGAACACTTTGACGCCACCAATCTAAAAAATAGCTTTGCGTTCTCTTTAATTTTATACTCACGCACACATTTACTTACCTTCTTAATGCATTATGCATTAATTGCCTTAAGGAGCTCATACCGTTTCCGTTGGCTTTCGAAATATATGTGACCAAACGTAAATTATCAAAAAATATCACAAAAAATGTGATATATATTTATATATATTTTTATTTTGAAAAAATATCGATTATTCATTTTATGATATATTTTTGACAACCCTAGCAGAGGCCAGGTGTGACCAGAGGCCAGCTGGAATTTGTTTATATTCAAATTCTGTTCGAAGTGTTATTTTTAGCTATAATATGACTAATTGGCGGTTAATGTGGTGGTAGGATGAGTAGGATGTACGAATACGGGGCCGCCCATATTGGCTTGCATGTACGCATGTATATCTTCGATGGAGCACATAAAATAACAGTAGATCGAAATATTTCGACAATGTGGCGGCAAATTTATAAGTTGGGATGCGCTTGCTTCGATGCTGGAAACCGGCGCATAACTTCCTCACAACTTGAGGATCACCCAATTGGAGTCCCGCTAATCATAAGAAAGAGTACAAACAAAATTCTCCGCCCTATCTTATGTTACGAACCATTGTTTAATAACATTAAATACATTAGTGGCAAGACTATTGTAATAAGATAAAGGCGTTAATATAATATATGAAAATAAACTAAAAATAGCTCAGCGAGTAGATAAATCGAATTGTGCAGACACTTTTCCAATCACGATATTGTGTAGAGATAAGCTGTTCGGACTTTAAAATACAATTGTGCACTTGGATATATTAATAGTTAGTCAGATAACATGGACTTATTTTGTGTTCTGTTCTATAGAATCTTCAGATTATCTTGGCAGGAAATTTGAAATTTATTTTCAAGACTGTTTTGACACACAAAATATGTACCCAGCATTGTAGAGCCTTGACGTTAATTATCATAAATCAAATTTGATTAGCCTTTGACTAATTACGTGCGTCAATTTCGCATTTTTTGCTCTACTCCTAAATTTAATTAACTTCTGCAATGTGGCGCAACCAGTTGAACTGTGAGTCCCCTCCGCTCCGCCACCAAAACTAAGGTCGTTGCGCCAAACTAAGATGAACGGGTTTCGGGGCTATGATTCAGCAATGAGAAAGATTTTATTACATTTTGTAATAATAAATACACAGGTAAAGCTTTAATAGGACTCTCCGCTAACAAGCAAACATCGTAATTTATGGCATTAACACTAAGAATACAAACGGGCAATCGCACGCAAGAGGCACAAACTACAACTTTGTGTTAACAATATCCTCGCGCGACTCCGTCGTCTCCACCTCATTCCACTTTTGTATCTTTCCCGATCCAAAGGCCCAGAAAAACAGAGCAGGCAATATGTACGCTGCCGCTCCAATGATGAATATCCAGTGCCACTGATCGATGGTGTTCTATGGGCAAGGCAATGATTGATTGAGGGAGTGCCATCGATTTTTGTATCCAAGTACTCACCTCCTCTTCGGTGAAGGCAGCCACGATCAGCGGCGAAAAGATGCCTGGCGTGGTGCCAACACAATTGATGATGCCGTACAGCGTGCCCGCATAATTGGGTGCCAAGTCCTGGGAGTTGGCCAAATTGGAGGCGGTGGCAGCGCCATTAAAGCCCAGCGATATGGTCATGATGGCCACACACACATAGGGATCGCGGCCAAAGTAGGCGAGGATGATCAACATAACACCCGGCAAGATGTGAGCTATCAGAAAGGGGACACATTATTTCACGATCTTCATCCCCATGCAGCACTTGGACTCACAAGGCAAGCAGAATGCTTTTCGCATTTTGGTAACCGTCCACCAGCCTCTGCGGCGGATCCAATCAGCCACTCCGCCAAAGCCAAAGGCACAGATGAGACGAGCCACATGGGGCAAGCTGGAAAGTACGCCGGCGGAGGACAGATTGAAGCCGAGCACTTCGCTCAAGAACTTGGGTGTGGCCGTGATCAGGAAGAACAGTCCCCACATGCTGCCATAATGGAGCAGCATCAGAGACCAGAAGGGCATGGACAGGACCAGCTCCTTGTAAGGTGGCCATTTCTGTTATCCAAGAGAGTGAGGAATGTGAGTTCGTCTAAAGAGAGTATAAATAGACTCCCCAATTACCTTCTTGTTGCTCAGAGTGTTGCCCAAGCTGTTCTCAATGTACTCCCGCTCCTTGATGCTGATTGTGCTGTGCTGTGCCGGCGTGTCGGCCACCAGATAGAACCAAACTGCAACCACAATCAGCACGAATATGCCGACAATGTAGTAGGCCCAGTCCCAGCCGAGATTCTCGATGATTACGCCACTGATGGGCCATGTGATGACCGTTCCAAATGTGCCGCCCATCAAAGAGGCCACAAACTTGCCCTTCTCGTCCGGCGGCGACCACTTGGAGACCAGGCTGTGGCAGCACGGATAGACAACGCCATTGAGGAACCCAATCAGAAATCGCACAGCGAACACTGCGTATTTGTCCCAGGCAGCGGCAGCCGGAGTCAGCGCTGTGAGGATCCCAGCCACCAGGCAGCTGTAGCCCGCGACGTTACGTGCTCCCAGCATTTCGGCCAGGGTGCCTGCTGGCAATGAGGTGATCATGTAGCCATAGAAATAGGCACCCAGAAGCAGAGCCTGATCCGACTGTGTCCAGTTGTAGCGTGGACCATACTGAGCAGAATAATGCAAAGATATAGAGGAATTCGGGATAATGATTGAGTTTATGGGCACTTACATCTGGCAGGACCTCAACAGTGCCGTTCTCGTTATTGCTCGTGTCTTCCACCATGGCTATGATATTTATCGAGAGATTCACCCGCATCATGTAACTGAGGAGGCAGGCCATGAAGAGCATGATCGCCACATTGATCCGCTTGGGCACATAGACTGCAAAACGACACCCACCAAATATTGATTATTGACAGATCATTATTTAATTTTCGATTTCGGCACAAGCCCCTAGCAGCACATTAGAGCAATTAGCAGATCATATACGATCCAAATCAACCTGACGAATCCATCTAATGAGCTGCGCATGCGCAACTTTCCATATTTGCGTTGCGGATTTTTGGGGTATTTGGGTATTTCACTTCACGTCTCTTAGCTGGATTATTGGACCCACATCACGTGAAGTGAAGTGTTATTGATGAGATACATGAGAAGCCCGTGCTTCCGCGGAATCGAAACGTGTCGCAATATTTTTGGCAATTAAGTCGGTTATTGGTTTGGAATACTTACAGCACGGCATGACGGCCATTTCGGCTGCGTTTTCTTATGGCTTTTTGTGCCTCGAGTCAGGTGTCAGAGCTGAAAGGAGAACAGCAGGAAACAGTTAGGAAGAGTGTCGAATATTTTGCGGTGTTAATTTAGTCGGAGGGGAACTCCCTGGCGGAGCGTATAATTAAGCAGCATTGAGAAGAAGAATTTTAGTTGGCCAATAATGACAGCTTGTGGCATTCATTTTGGTGCCAAACGTGTCTATCGAGTTTTTAATGCGAATTAGCCAATAGCTCTTGACCAATTGATAATCTCAGTTACATGTGCTGCCTGCACTTCAAACAGTACCCTGCCGCCACATGATCGTTATTCGTATCACCAGAGAGGGCTGCAGTGCTGGCGGCTTATCGAACACTTGTCGAATTTTATAAGCACGTCGCGGCTGCCACTTGCTACAGGCACGTGAGAGATGCATTTTGGTTGAATTTAAAAATGAACTGAGAAAAAGTGCATAAGTCAAACGCGAGCGAGAACCGATTCGCGAGAGCTGCCCATCAATGGCATTGTTGCCGGAATTGTTGGAATCGGAATTGGAATCGCGAGTGGCCAATTCATAAGGTAATTGCATCGCAACATGCTACACTCACGCTTATCGTTCTGTTCTAACAAAACTGTACATTTCGGCAGATTTTTTTTTTTTTTTTTTTTTTTTTTTTTTTTCTCTCTCTTTATATTTACAATCTGTTTTTAAACAATAAGTAAATTGTATAATTAATATTCAATTAACAGAAATAGCAGTTTTCCAATGAGCCCTGCTATTATATATAACATCTTTTTAGTTTGTTAAATTTATCTATCAGGGATATCGAGAATGTGGTATCTTTTCAGTCTTCTTACTGTTAGGCTATTGTCTAATAGACTTAAGGCTAAATTATTTTCGTGGTTGTGGAGTCTGTCGATGTATTTCTTACTAGTTTTCTTTATTTCTTCTTTAATGGTTGGAATATTCAGATCTTTGTGGATGTTTGCATTAGATACGTAAAACGGAGCATTGACAATTTGTCGCAAAGTTTTTGATTGGTAACGCTGAAGTATTTCAATATTTGAGTTGCTAGCAGTTCCCCAAAGCTGTATAGCGTAGGTCCAAACAGGCTTCAGTATGGATTTGTAGAGGCGAATTTTGTTTTCCAAAGTGGTTTCTGATTTTCGACTTATCAGCCAGGACATTTTTAGTGTTTTAAGTCTAAGTTGTTGACATTTTGCTTTAATGTGGTTTTTCCATGTTAATCTGCGGTCGAGATGCAAGCCGAGATACTTCACACAGGTACTTTGTGGAATTGGTGAGCCGTTAAGTGTAACATTTGGGCAGTTACCTGGTCTTAATGAAAACGTTATTTGGACGGATTTCAGGGAGTTTATTCTAATTTTCCATCGAAGGAACCAGTNATTTTTTTTTTTTTTTTTTTTTTTTTTTTTTTCTCTCTCTTTATATTTACAATCTGTTTTTAAACAATAAGTAAATTGTATAATTAATATTCAATTAACAGAAATAGCAGTTTTCCAATGAGCCCTGCTATTATATATAACATCTTTTTAGTTTGTTAAATTTATCTATCAGGGATATCGAGAATGTGGTATCTTTTCAGTCTTCTTACTGTTAGGCTATTGTCTAATAGACTTAAGGCTAAATTATTTTCGTGGTTGTGGAGTCTGTCGATGTATTTCTTACTAGTTTTCTTTATTTCTTCTTTAATGGTTGGAATATTCAGATCTTTGTGGATGTTTGCATTAGATACGTAAAACGGAGCATTGACAATTTGTCGCAAAGTTTTTGATTGGTAACGCTGAAGTATTTCAATATTTGAGTTGCTAGCAGTTCCCCAAAGCTGTATAGCGTAGGTCCAAACAGGCTTCAGTATGGATTTGTAGAGGCGAATTTTGTTTTCCAAAGTGGTTTCTGATTTTCGACTAATCAGCCAGGACATTTTTAGTGTTTTAAGTCTAAGTTGTTGACATTTTGCTTTAATGTGGTTTTTCCATGTTAATCTGCGGTCGAGATGCAAGCCGAGATACTTCACACAGGTACTTTGTGGAATTGGTGAGCCGTTAAGTGTAACATTTGGGCAGTTACCTGGTCTTAATATTTCGGCAGATGAAATCGAAATAGTTTTCGACTTAATAATGCCGCCCTTGTCACAGCCATTGAACCATTTACACAGCTGCCCTTCACTTCACTTTGCTTCAGGCCGCACAAAGGAAATGTTTGCGCGAAAGCGTCTACAAAGGCTGTACATAGCAAGTGCACTTGCACGTACATATATAAAGACTTTACATACTATATATGTACTTACATCTGTAGGCACATAGGGCCTTGCATTATAAAAGAGTTTCAATTAAAGTCTCGCTCTCGCACGGTTGTTGACTTGCGGAGAAAACGTAATTATCGCCTGCTGATATGGCACAAATATTTCGACACAGCTCATTTGGGCCAAAATTAGGGAACTTCCCCAACTGTTTACGAGTACAATACTCACACCCCACGAATCCAATCCTCATATGCCATTTAAAATGTGTGTTGCCAATAATTATCCAACTGTTCCTTTAAGCCAACAAGCGCTTCTACAAAACTTAATTGATTTTCGCAATACCAAGAAGAGACCCATAAATGTTCGCATAAAGAGTTGCTCGTCGCGATAAGCAATCTAAACCGACCCAACCAATTCCCTGTTCTCAATGGAAGTCTTCAAATTCAAGCAAGCGCCATCTTATCACAATCAAAAGTCCCATTTCATCGGCGTGTAAACAGCAGCTGATTCAGAAAGGGACGTCTGCACCTTACCTACATTCACCTACCTACCAGTTTAATTTGATTGGTTTGATTGGAATCCTATATAATAGGCGCCACAACTGCTGGCTGCTGGCTGCTGGTGTATTGCGTATGGCTGCGTGACATGGATGTGAATGGATCATTTTCGGAAAACTAATATTGCAAACAGTGACCACAAGATCAGCAATAGTGTCGATACGTGCACTGACAGCAAAGATCAAGGAACGCAGCCCAGCTAATGACCTTCGATATTGACTTTAACCAAATGTTTTGCTTGTGAAAGTAATTTGCTCCGGGTTGTAATTAGTGTGTTCATTGCAGTTGTTTGGAAATCTGGTTCTGGATAATATACAAGTGCCAAGAGCCCGAAACGTATTATCAGCGAAACATCTCCACACAAAAGTCAGTCAGTGAATGGTACGTGTGTAAATGTAGGTGTAGGTCTTTACATAGGTGTGTGTTTTGTCAGCTTCTTCTGTCTAATCTGGAAGGCGTTGTCGTCTTATCATCGTCATGCATTGCCCTTCCCGCCAATGAGTGACTTTATGAAAGCAGCTCGACAATTTATGGGCCATAAAGAGTGAATTATAAAAGGATGGAATGGAACTGTGTGGCTGTGGCTGTGGCTGTGACCATGCGATAACAGGGGGCCCATCACATCACATTCACATTAGCTTGTAAACGCGTGCATTAGAGTCAGGTTAATCGTCAATTAGCCGTAATCAGAGTGGACTCTATTGTTGCTGGACTGTGGCCATATCGACTGGGGACTATATATGATTTGATTTACAGTACAATTTGTACATGCAATCGAAGACCCATAAGGCTTTATGATCCGTTATATTGAACAGAGGAGCGAAATATAGGTGAACCAAAGTTCGTCTGTGTATTCGGGGCACGCGTGCTATTTACATAAGAGCTGGGAGCTGCTGCTGCTAGTTGGTTGGTCGGTTGTTCATCCACTTGACATGGTTTTTGGTATCCCCCTGCTTTGCTTTATTCCCACTCGCGTCTTTCTTTCGATTGCTGTTTTTGCGGAGCAGCGGATTCTGCTTTTGTTTGCATAGAATTCTGCATGCGAAATCAGCGTCGGCATTGAACCGTAACTCGCAAGCACACAAATCGAAACCGAAATATGTAATGAACTCAGTCAAATAGCAGTTATTGTTGTAGATTAGATCATTGTTGTTGCTGTTGTTGTTGCGGAATTTCGGTTCTCATAGCCGTAGCGTAGCTCTAATTCGCATTCGATTCGTATTATTTACGCTTTTGCATTTTTGCACGCGGTAATTACGTGGCACTTGAAAAACGACCTGAAATATGTATATTATGTGCCCAGGACTGCAAATATTTTACGTTAAAGTTAGCGTACTCCCAATAAGTCTAAATCAATGTCACTTTTCGACAAATTTCACGCGTACGTCACACTAAAGAACACTAAACAATGAGATCGCGGAACGGGGGGACTTATAACTTGGAAAAGAGCAGCTAATTTGTCAAGCAAACTTATTGAATAACTAAGCAAAGTAAATTTGAATATTTAATACATACAGCCCAAAAAAAAGAGACACTAACTTGCACAACAAATTCCACTGCAGATCCTTATTTAATTATGGATTATGGCGGCCTGTTGTCAAGGCAGGAAGGCAAAAAACTGAATTTTTTTGCGAATGGTGGCAGCTGCGCGGTTCAACGAATCGCAACCCAATAACGAAAACCAGTTATTATTTTAAATGCAAATTAAATAAAAATAGCCAGGCCTAAAATAGCCCCTGGCTCCACTGTACAGTTGGGCTAGGCACGGCACGCACAATCACACAGACCAGACAGACAAAAATAGACCCGAAGAGGGCACGTCTCGTTTCCAGAGGCAGGTTCAGGTTTGCGGTGTCCTCCTCGCAGACCACTGAGCCGGGTGCTCTTCGCATAACTGATTTATTTACTAGTACACGATATGCGAGTACTGTTTGTAACCGACTTTGACTGTTTTATTCGTTTGTTTTCTTGAAATTTCTCCAAAAATCTTTAATAAAGTGCAACACAACACAACACACGACACAATACGCGATCATCAGCACACGTCGCGGCACTCCATAGATGTCTCATTAAGTTTTTGTTTGTATTTCTTCGGGGCACAAATTAACTACCAGATTTCGTATGAAATTTTTCCATAACGGCCCCCAAAATACTGGGCAGCCGCACACAGAGCGAAGAGTGTCCAAAGATTGGGGTGTTGCCTGCCAATGTGGTGGCTAAACTGGACTTTCTTGTTGATGTCCATTACCTTCCTGCATCAGACTCACATTGTACGGACTTCCTTGGGACGACTCGACTTCCAACTTCCAACTTCCAACTTCAAGCTGCTGTGTATCGCCGTCAGCTGAGAACGCCGCGAAGCTAATGAAACTGAATTGCCAACAGCCAATGGCATATATACTTGGACGACGTTTTTAAGCAAAAACCTCGACCAGCAGCCCAAACAGCCAGCCAGCCAGCCAGCCAGCCAGCGAGCCAACCCGCTGTCACACTCGCAGTCGCAGTCTCAGTTTCAGCAGCGACAGTGGCAGTAGCAGTAGCAGAGGAGCAGCGCAAAAAACATTTAAAAATGTTTTGTTGCTGTTTCTGTACGCTCCGCTCCGCTCGCTGATAGCGTGCCAAAAGTCGCATGCGATTTGTGCGAGAGCTCAAAAATATATACACACGCGAAAATTACTAACAAAAAATCACAAAATCGTGCTAAACTGTGAATCAATAAACATGATGACTAACAGTTATTCCAACAATTTCACTCCGCCCATATAATATTGCCCAAAAAAATAATAATTAAAAAATTCAACAGTTGATCTAAGCGAAAAATTGGTCGAGCAAAACGCTCTAAGCCCGAATGAAATTTTTAAAAATACTTTTATAGCACACGTGCGGTGCGGTGCGGTGCGGTGTGGTGTGGTGCGGTGCCTTTGCTCTGTTGTGAAAATTGAGCAAAGCGCTCATTTGTTAAATATTTTGTTTCAATTAGCGCACTTGACAAATGCCAGCAAAAAGCCAGAGAGGCGCAGAGAAATAAATTTGTTATCACGAATCTATTTGTTATTGAAGATATTCGTCGTTACACCATAATATTTATGAATTTATCAACTCGGATCCCTTTATTTCTGTTATATTCGGTTCGTTATTCACGGATCTTAAACTTGACTGCGATCTTTAGCTTCCTGGCTGCCTATCTCACGGTGTGTGTTTGTGCCATAAAATATGAATATTATCTCCCTGCCTCCGTCTATTCAAATTAAATGTCTTGTATCATCCAGGGCTGTGTGTGTGTGTGTGTTGCCAGCTCATAAAACTCAATTGATGCATTTAGCTGCTGGTTTCAGATAAGCGACAATGATGACTTATGATAAGATCTTTTCATTTACCAACTGTCAGTCACATTTTCACGGTATTTAAGGGAACGTAAAGGGCTACATTTTCCTAATGAGTTCCATGTTTATTAATTCGATTCGAATAGATTAATTTTCAATGAAATGCTAACCCATCGAATCATATCATTATTAATTAAAAATGTTCGATATTTTTTAAGCAGAATTTAGAGCACAAGCTTGACAAAGCGTTAATGGCCGCTGACTGATCAATTCGGATTTCAAACGGACATATTTAACAAATAAAATTACTTCATGATAACGTAAAGCATGCGCTGTGCGCATACTTTTCCCACTAACTCGCTGTACTCGATAACATCAACGCGATGGGTAACGTCAGGTATCTGTTGAAAAGTTTAAAGCAAAACATTAGCTCGTGGATGATTTACAGCGATAATTAAAGAGCAGTACGTACCTGCCAATATTCCTTATATTTCAGGGTGTAATCGGTACCCATCAGAAGAGTCACTTCACCTAAATCTTCGAGTGTGAATTCGTTGACATCTCTAGCAGCTGCATCATCATTTAGTCGCTGATACTTGTTGGCATCGAGCTTAGAACGAATGACTAAATTCCATTGGAGTTAGTTATCAGCGAGGAGAGGGAAGCTGGTTCATAAAAAACCTACCGTCGGTGAGCAGTATCCAAACATAAGTCTCTGGGCAAAGCAAATATGAGGGGGAAAGATTTCCTTTGTAGCGCATCTTTGGACAGGAGTGTATGTAAAAGCCCATGTAATAATATTTCACAGCAGGCGTGGTGGCAGCAATCGTCTGCACGAAATCGATTTCCCTGCAACCAACAGAAATTAGTTGTTAATATTTTGTGAAGGTTGTGTATTGCCTTACCTTAGCGAGCCATATGTGCCAAGAGAGAGAAAACTGTAGTCCGGATCGTAGAAGAAGTATACGGAGCTAACCGAACCCGGCAAGATGTCAATCACGCCCACGGCAATCAGCTTGTCGTCGAGCCAATACTGCTGATGGAACGATCCATAGCCCATCTCGGGTCCATCGTCTGGCTTTTCGTTCTACAATGGAGTGAATTATAATAAACGAACGTTTAATATTTGGATAAGAGTTAAGGGTTAGTTTAAATCATTAATTGTTTAGCAACCTCCATGGGTGAATCCTGCAGATGGTACACGTAGGCATTCCGATCCTTGGGCGGATCATTGTGTATCGATATCTGATACTTCCTATACAGCGCGTAGCTATCGGGCAGTGTCCGGATGAATTCCTCACTATCAACGTCTACCAAACTCAACTGCGGATAGATAATTCATATAACATAAATAATTACCTTAAGGGCCGACTTGATCAAAAACCGCTGCATACTAGCTAGGGTTAGGCGTGCGGGATTATCATTGTGTATGACTACTTGATATTTTCGATACAACGCTAGTACAGCATCGGCACAAGTGCGCTGTGTGTCTGAGGATGCGACCAGAACGATCTGCAAGAACACAAACAGCACAAAGCCATACACAAAGTGTCTACATGTAGGGAGACAAATACTCAGGGACGGACACGAAATGAACAAAAACCGAAATGGCACAAAAAAGAACTAAATTGACGCTAACCAGCTAAGTTCTGCACACGGTCAAATCAATAGTTGTACTCACCTTTAGCTGATGTTTGTAACTTTCGTTGGGCTCCGATAAAAAGTCTGTCAAACTCTTCTCCTGCGTGACAGCTTTCTGCTTGGGTGGCTCCTTCGTATCGCCCAATTTAGCCTGTCGGCGTTCCAATCGCATTTGCTTGGCTTTCTTGCACGGCTTGTACGAAATGTCCTTTGCAGCTGTTAAAGAAAGATTAATATAATCTCCATTTCTCTCCGTAAAATACTACCCACATTTGTTGGATCCCAGCGATGGCGATTGGGCTAAAAGCCCAGCACCGGCAGCACCGGCCGGCTTTGCTTTGGACTTTTGAGCCTGCGCGAGTGACATGGCCTGCTCGACATTGATTACAGCCGGACTCTTATCGGGCATCTGAGGCTGCGGCTTTCTGGTCGGTGCATTCGCACCCTCAGTTACGTCATCGTCGTTTCCTGAGCGTGACCCCTGCTCAACAGGGTCACGTTTGCCATCAAGCAAAAATCGATTCATACGGCGAAGTATTCGCTTGTTTGACTTCGTCAGCTTGAATTCCAGAGCGTCACATTTGATTGCGTAACAGGGGCAGCAGGTCTCCTTGTTCTTTAACTTGTAGCAGTGCTTGCCGCATCGTCGCCAACCCCGATCAATGAGATCTTGGTAGTCTTGGCACATCAAGTGATATGCGAGCATACCTTTAAGAGCAACAACAAAGTGAATAATTTGTACCTGGTGCGGTCTTCTGGTCTTACCGTTGGACTTGCTGCATTTTGTGCCTGTACAGTAGCCGCATTTGCCGAGCTGGCTTCCAAAGTATTGCACAATGCTGACATTCAAACATGAGTTTGAAAGGAAGGAAGGAAACATCCTTTTAATGGATTCCGTAAGTATTCCGCTTTATAAATAAAAAGAATGTATGCAAAACAACGCCTGCTTGTGAAATTTGACACTGCAGTTGAACGAATTTTCTTTACTTTTTCACGTTAATTTCGATTCCTTTTTTTTCTTTATTTTTTTTTAATCGCTGTCGCGAAATGGGATTGTTGCACGACGATGAGTCCGCATTGACCAGGTACTTCAGTTCGATGATGGGGCTGTCGATATTTTCTTGACTATCGATAGTTGTTAATGAGACCATGGATGGTGTTGCATTGGTATATTCTTATAATTTAAACAATATGATACTTAGTTAATCGTTTCTTTTGGTGGATTATCGGAAATGACTGATAAATATTCATTGATTTTAATGTTCGGTTTAGTATTAAAAGCTAGCTAGGATCCCGATTTGATTATACAATTTGTACCCAATAAAAAAACCAATAAATTTTGTACAAGAATGTCTACATTTAAGTACTGCCATTTAGGGTATTGTGTATGAAATAACATTTAATTAGAAAAGGTCTATCAATTTGGGCAAAACCAGCAAACAGCCAAATACCACTTGAATATACCAGAGAAAATACAAACCATATGTTACTGTTTATTCCTGTGGTCTATTTTGGGTTAAGTTCGTATTATTTCTCAGTATATTTAGACGGTAGACTTTTTCGATAAACCCGCGGCCACACTGGTCAGTCGGGAAACAAAACAATCATTTTATAATAATATAGATTCTCCATTTAAAATGAATTAGCCCGGAAAACGAGCATACAATCTGTAAGTGTATTGGTCCTTGAACCAGCAAATGCAGACAAAGGGGCAAGGCAACAACAATAAACATGTCAATTTTTAAGTAGGTTTATGAAGTGCGTTGTTGCCAAGTGAAAGTTTTCGTTGCTCTTGCTGAGAATAAACTTCATCTGTAATCCGTCTGTTGTCCTTAAATTGAGTTATAATACTATAGTCTGTGCGTATATATCCCGCTCCCTAATAAGAACAGTGACTCTATTGGCTCATCTCTGGCCAACAACGACCTTCGTGCCAACCAATACAGTTCAATCATAGTTCTGACGCTTCCTGTAATTGATAGCCTTTGTCCGCTTGTAAATCATATTAATCTAAGTATTATTGATTATATGATATGATGAATTATGGCTAGTAAAGCATCATTTCTTTTGACAGTACACAATGATTGACGCGGCGTCTACCGAGCTGGCCAGCCAGAAATTGAATTCACAATTTGATGACAATCTTAAACTGGCGCACGAAGAGGAGAAAATAAACCATGTCAATGGGAAAGAGGCGTCAGAACCGACACCACCGCCAGCAGACATACCCGCCGAGCTGCAGGCATCGTATCGAAGTCTGTTTGTCGCTTGCCAAGAACACGCCGCATTCTTTGCCAAAGATCACACTGAATTTGGCCAACGCTTGCATGCCGCCCACATTGCCTGGCAGGACTTTATAGTGCTTGCCAACCGACTGGTCCTGCAAATCGAGTCCTTTGCCCATGAGTACGACTTCGATGAGCACACCCCAGGGAACGGATATCGCAGCTTCGTTTACGTGACCAATGCCTGCATTTCGCATGGCATCAGCATTTGCAAGCAGCTGCTGGCCACACGCACCACAATGTTTTTCCGGAAAAAGGTCTACATGAAGGAGGTGGAGGCCTGCTCGCAGCTGCTCTCCTCGATATGCACTTGCCTGCAGTATCTGCTCATACTGCGTCAATGGTCGGCCAATACTGGCGATCTGTTTGCGTGCGGCACGCACACGGCGGAGCAGCTCTTCGAGTTGGGGGACACCATCAATCAGTATTGTTTCTATGGACGTTGCCTGGGATTCCAGTACGGTAACTCCATACGTGGCGTTCTACGCTTCCTGGGCATCAGCATGGCCAGCTACTCCGAGTCCTATTACTCACGGGCGGACGATGGAACAATTGTAAAGACAACGCGCAGCCTCTGGACCAGTGGCAAGTACCTAATGAACCCAGAGCTGCGAGCCAGGCGCATCGTGAACATCTCGCAGAATGCTAAAATTGACTTTTGCAAGTCCTTCTGGTTTCTGGCTGAGTCGGAGCTGATGCTCAAATTGCCCAGCATCGTGGGCAGCTCCATTAAGGTGAATCGCATAATCGAGCTTCCGGCGGAGCCTTTTCAACTGCCGCGACGAAAGAACTTCAAACCGAGTGAGAAACTTGGCAGCGATGTAAACCAGAATCAAGGTGACGATGAGGATGCCATACAATTTGTGGACATAGCCGTGCCCAGTGCTCATCTGGGACCCGGTCTGCCCATTTCTGTGCGGCTGCTCAGCGCCAAGCGACGCTCTGGAATGCTTGGCGAAGGAAGGTATCGCGGCTGGCATAAGCCCACTCCCCCCAGTCGTTCCATATTGCTTCACTGCCACGGTGGTGGCTTCGTGGCTCAATCATCGAAATCTCACGAGCTCTATCTTCGCGATTGGGCTGTGGCTCTGGACTGCCCCATACTTTCGGTGGACTACAGCCTAGCACCGGAGGCTCCCTTTCCGCGTGCCCTGCAAGAAGTCTTCTATGCGTACTGTTGGCTATTGAAGAACGCCGAGCATCTCGGCACGACGGCTGAGCGAATTGTGTGTGCTGGCGACTCTGCTGGTGCGAATCTGTCCATCGGAGTGGCTCTGAAATGCATTGAGCAGGGTGTGCGTGTTCCGGATGGACTCTTTCTGGCCTACTGCCCCACCCTCGTCAGTTTTGTGCCGAGTCCGGCCCGCTTGCTGTGCCTCATGGATCCCTTGCTGCCGTTTGGCTTCATGATGCGGTGTCTGCGTGCCTATGCATCACCCGCCAAAGAAACTTTGCAGCAGAATGCCAAGCATGTGGAGGAGGTGGCCCAAATACGCAATGCTCCAAAGTCGTCGCTGGGAAGTGCCACCTCCAGCCGACGCACTTCTTTAGCCAGAAGTACACTCACATCTCTGGAGGCAAATGCCGATCCAGATGACGAGAGCAGCGATACGTTTGCCAGTGCGTCAGCGTCGTACCACAGCCAGACCGTGGAGCGAACCGATATGCCCAACAGCGAGGGCGACAACAGCTCGTGTGTTTCCTTCGAGGACGATTCGCAGCCCATTGTCCATTACCCTGTTGAGATCTCAGCGGACACGCCCAAGGATCTGGAAACCGCTGCTTACATTGATCAGTTCTTGGATAAATATCTCATTGACACGGCCACCATTGAAGTGAGCGAGGAGACAACACTCCCAGCTACACAAGTGCAATCCAATGGCCTGGGCAAGGATATGACTGATGGCAACATTCTGGTGGAGACGGGACGTGACCTCATTGCAATGGATACACTGCATGGCCGGTGGCAAGAGGCTGTCAACAATATAACCAACACACTGTCGCGCTGCACGAAATCTTACGAAATACATGGCAGCAATGCCCTTAGCCCCCAGGATGTGCGCAACATGGACGCATTGATAGCCCGCAGTCCCAGCGAGGAGTTTGCCTTCGATGTGCCCAAGGATCCATTCTTATCGCCCTACTGGGCCTGCGACGACTGGCTATCCCAACTGCCAGAGACAAAGATTCTCGTAAGTCCTCTCATAACTCGGCCATATATGATCGATTCTATTTGATTATCTATGCAGACACTGAACATGGATCCCTGCCTCGATGACTGCGTCATGTTTGCCAAGAAGCTAAAGCGACTGGGACGTCAAGTTAACTTGGAAATACTCGAGGGCTTGCCGCATGGATTTCTTAATTTTACTATGGTATTTACACAGCTAACAACAGCAACGTTCATAAACTAATGATGTTCTCTTCTTAGCTATCCAATGAGGCTATGGATGGATCCAATCACTGCATTAAATCATTGCAGGCACTACTCCAGATCACATAAATGCACAGAAAAGCAGTTCCGCTCCAGTGCTATTTCTACAGATCCCCAACAGATGTTGAATATAATTCCACTTGATCCCAGTGATGTGGAAAGAGTTATTCGCTGTATAGAGACCTCCCCGAGTGGTAAATCACAAGATGTTCTTTGCTATGCGCACTTTACTTGCTTTATATTAGGTTTTTCGCAATCTCAAGCGTTTTTTATACACTTTTATACGGTTTGACACAGATTTGTTTGTTATGTTTTATAGACATACAAATGATAGATATTATAGGTTAAGGCTTTTAGTATAAGCAAGCCAATTATTGGAAGTATTGGAAGCATGTAAACATGCGATATTTATTACATATATTACATATACATAAATGTATGTATGTACATTGTACAATGACCTATGTTCCAGGCACACACTCGCCAAGAGTCATTTAATGTAAAACGTGCCGAATATGTGCCTGATACGATATACATGTACCATATAAGCAAATCATTCAAACAATCTAACCAATTAAGAGTTTGCGCATACACAATGGAGGCTAGCCATTTATATACATTCAAATATTTCAAATATGCCCGAGATATGCCTAGTTTTCTTTGCCTGTCCCACTCTATCTCTGAATTACAGCCAGGTGTTTGCTATATTAATTTGTAATCTTTCGTTTGTAATCTCTTTAAACTATTTCCCAGTGCAGTGTTATACATTTATGCGAATAAACGGTTATTGCCATTCAATTTAACCAACTTCAGGCTCAAATAAGACTTTGTTACAGGCTTGTTTTTATTGAGGAAAAGATGCTGTTTTTGTTGATTCTTAAAAGTTACGTATGAGGCAGATGATTCATTAAGTGACATATAAATATGAGAGGACAGGACAGACTCTTGTTTCGTGTTGCCTTATGTCTCGTTATCTTCGATCTTGGGCGCCAGGTAGTAGCGTATGTGGCCCAGATCTTTGATTGCGTACTCTACTACCAGGGGCACATCTGCACACATCGACAGCTGCACTTGGGTGGACAATGGAGTGGCTTTTGTGAAGGCGTTCAGGTAGCGACAGGCGAACGTCAGCGTAACTGGCTCCTGCATTTCAATGGTGACCGACTCCTCCTCCTTGTCAACGTTGCCAGTTTGGGCCAGCTTAATGTTGGCAGTGCCCACATCACCGCTGGCCGAGAACTTCACGCCTTCCTTGGTGCAGCAAATGACCACCGACTCACTGAACTGGGACAAGTCACGGCAAATGCGAGCAAACTCCATGGCTGGCATGCGGACTACACAGGAGAAGTCCGTCTCGGGTATACCCAAATGCTCCTGATCGAGATTCATTAGTTTCATCTCATAGTCGGAGACCTTCTCCTGATTAGCCGACTCGAACATGATGGTAACTGTGTCCGCATTATCCTGCGCCTTCATTGTCACGTTGTCCTCGTTGTTGGCGCACTTCAGAATTTTGGCCATGCTCCCCAGATTCATGCCCATCGAGAGATTGCGATCACAGCGGAACTTGTCAAATCCATCGGAGCGCAGTGTCAGCGACACCAGAGACACATGAGAGTTGTCCATGGCTTGCAGCTGAGGGGTGGAGTAATGAATTCACTTGCTCGGAAAACTGTCTTAGTGTGCAAATTCAAAATGTGTACCTGAATTCCCGAATCACTGCAGTCGAAGGTGGCCTCGTTCAGCAGATCCTTGATGGCGTCGAGAATCTTCTTCAGGATGGTAGCTTGACCCAGGCGTGCCTCGAACATGATGATCTCTTTAGTTTTGTAATACGGAATGCAATTTATGCGACTCTATGTAGTGTGTAATATGAGCTGATCAGTTCTCTGGTTGTTGTTCGATTTTACAGGAAAATCTGTTTAATGTTGCTGGCAGAGGGACTTCAAAACGAGTGACGAACGTGTTGGCAGAAAAATTACATTGATCAGGCGGGCAAAAATGAGCGGGATAGGGATGTACAATGCGGATGATATCGGCGGTGTCCTATCGATAGGTATGATCCGACCGCGCTGCCAACCCAAGTGTTTTACAACAGCCCTGGATTCCGAACATTATTTAACTAAATTAAAGCGACAATTTTATTGTTTTTATAGTTTTACAGGAAGATTAGCGGAAGCGATGATGCATTAAGGTAGGCTGAGAGGACTGTATTTGCTGATCAATCTTCTTTGCTTTTTCCACCATTTCGTGCAAGTCGTGGACGCCAAGACCTTACCAAAAGAAAGCAAGAATTGTAATTTAACTAATGTTTATGCCATGAACTCACCGTGCACCGTCTGATCATGGACACCGCTGGGATCTATTTTCATAAAGTATTCTTCAATTTCGACATGGTTTTGCATTGCGGCAACACAAGAGGCCGGAATCAGCGAAGACAGATTAAAATCCTTGTAGGAACGAAGATGCAAAAGCTCTCGGACTAAAGGATAACATCCGGAGTAGGTAGCCAAGGTCAATGCGTTTTGTCCAAAGTAATTGACCGCGTAAATATTCGCTCCAAACTCCAAAAGTGTGCAAGCGCATTCGATGCGCCCCAAATAGCAAGCCTTCAGCAAGGCCGTGTTCCCGTACGTGTCCAGATCCTCTACATTGTACTCTCGGTTGCGCGCCATAGTGCAAATTATACGCAAGGACACCAAATCGTTTTGTCCAACGCAGTTGAGAGCTTAAAATATTTCATCATGGGTTAATGCATTTAATATCACTTTAATTTACCATTCAATCCAGGCATTTTCGTATGATTTTATAACGGCGCTTAATAGAAAACCAGGGCTAAGCTACTCGTGTCTAAATGCAACTCTGTCCGATAGCACTTTACAGCACTGCTTGTCAAAACACCGACCAACGTCAAGACGTCATCCGGTTTCTTTCCGATTCGAGAATTCGTCTCACACAAACGGCAAAAATGGTGCGTCGTCGAAAAAAAATGCAAAATCTCGGTGCATCAAACAACAAAAACATTATGCTGGAGTGAAATTGTTCAGTGCATAGCATGAAGTATGCAATGACATGTTTATGCTGCATTAACACAGCCTAACTATGGCAATAGTTTTGTTGCGAAAATGCCATTGCTAATTTCTGTTCCCATTGTTTGTGTTTTTCGTGTAATGCAATTTCTGTGTGTTTGATATTTGCAGTCGCTCGTCATCCCAGAGAAGTTCCAGCACATCCTTCGTATCATGAGTACGAACATTGATGGCAAGCTCAAAGTTGGTATTGCCATGACCGCCATCAAGGGTGTGGGTCGTCGTTACTCCAACATTGTGCTGAAGAAGGCCGATGTTGATCTCACCAAGCGTGCCGGTGAATGCACTGAGGAGGAGGTAAACAAACACCGTAGATACTTCTCGAGCTTCCAAACTAATGTTATTTATTCTATTTCGGTTGTAGGTCGACAAGGTTGTCACCATCATCACCAACCCTCTGCAATACAAAGTGCCCAACTGGTTCCTCAACAGACAGAAGGACATCATCGATGGCAAGTACTGGCAGCTGACCTCTTCCAACTTGGACTCCAAGCTGCGTGATGATTTGGAGCGCTTGAAGAAGATCCGCTCCCATCGCGGTCTGCGTCATTACTGGGGCCTCCGTGTCCGTGGCCAGCACACCAAGACAACCGGTCGTCGCGGTCGCACTGTGGGTGTGTCCAAGAAGAAGTAAGCTGTTAACGTTCCCCACAGAGAGATCGCTAATTCTACTTTAACTTTTACAAAAAACCACAAAAAATAAATTGAAAAAACGGAAACTGGAAAGTTTTAGTACGGAATTAATGTGTAGTGTTTTTTGTATTCGTATTTGTGAATCTAATCCCAGTGGAGCAGCAGCCTTTTTTCACTGTTTCAAGAATGTATTCTTTCCACTGGTTAACTATTTACCAAGAACGCAATGGCAGATCCTAGACATAAACTGTGTGCACGGCAATTTGACAGTCCAATCTGCTTCTCGGACTGCAATGGAGCACATACATATGAACAAGGTTTTCTTTACATAGGATTAACAGTCGAATATGCAATATGCAAAGAAATGCAACAAGAATTGGGCTTAAAACAGACAAATGGAACATGAATTGTACCTTAAGATACGGCGAATGAAGTTGCTGTTGGTTGGATAGATACAATTGGTCCTAATGGCATATAGTTTGTATTGAACATCAATCAATTAAATTGCATATAGTGGGTATATTTTTCTTTTTTAAATATTTTGATGTGACCGCCAAATTCCTACCACTTATCTCACATGTATATCAATGAAAACAAATATCGCATAGAAACATTATCAACGATAGTATACATCGATATATCGATCAATCCACAAACTTATCACAGCATGCGTTCGAAATATATGGTATGTCTTGTTACATTTTTCCGCGGCCACACTGATGCCTTCCAAATATTCAAAGTAAATAAATAAATTTAAAAAGCATGGAGTCAGAAAACTGCCAAGATTTAGTAGACAAGATGAATAGCTGCGAGGATGAGTGCATTAAGGAAACCAGCAATATTCCGCAAGAGTCGGCGGCGAAGGCAGTGGATGTGGTGAATGCAGTCGCAGAGAGCAACGTTCAAGAGCCAAAATTTTATGGCAAAGCGCAAAAATATTGGTCGGAAGTGCCGGCCACAGTCAATGGGATGCTGGGCGGCTTGGGATACATCAGCGCCATCGATATACAGGGATCAAACACGTTTCTGCGCGAAATACGTGTGCCTGGCAAGAAGCTGGCGTTGGACTGCGGTGCCGGAATTGGAAGAGTGAGTCGGAATCTGCTGATTCCCCGCTTCCATTGCGTTGATATTGTGGAGCAGGACCCAGCGTTTGCGAATAAAGCCCGGGAGTACTGTACAACTGAAAGCCAGCCTGTCGGCAGTTTGGGGGAAATCTACAACGTTGGACTACAGAAATTCACTCCCACAAAGAAGTACGATCTCATCTGGAGTCAATGGGTTCTAGGACATCTCACTGAGCTGGACTTGGTCGACTTCTTTCGACGCGTGCGGCAGGGACTGGCTCCAGGCGGCTTCTTTGTCATCAAGGAGAACGTAACCAAGTCAAAAGAGATAATCGATGACGACGAAGACTCTTCAGTTACTCGCCCGCTGGAGCACTACGATATATTGCTCAAGACGGCTGGATTTCGTATTGTGCGAAAAGTGCGACAACAGAACTTTCCAAAAGACCTTTATCCAGTTTATATGATTGCCTGTAAGCCGCTTTAGTGGCTTAAATTCAAAATGTAGTTACTAACGAAACGAACGTACAAGCGAAATTGTACCCACAAAAACCAATATCACAATTTTAGCTAGTCATCAAAATGTTTAAATTATAGTTTGTATAGTTCATAGAGACAAATAAATGTATCAAATGACCAAGCCGGGTCACAAATGCGCAAATATTCGAGTTTTCTTTTCATTTATGTTCAATAATAACCCAAAGCATTGTCCCATTCGTTTCATCGATCCGGCAACGCCGTGTCGCCAGCTGCTCCAATAATTGCTCGTCGTAAAAACTGTATCCGCTTGTAATTGGATAATTTAAACGTTTAAATGGCACTGACAAAAGTCTACGATGCCGCGACAGTTTTCAGGCACTTAAACGGCGTTTTAAATGTATACAAACCCGCCGGCATGAAAGTGGGACACGTGCGCAGTGCTGTTCTCAGCAACATTTGCAAGGGTAAGTGGAACAATATTTAAATATTCGGAAGATAATATTTCGTAATCTCCTTAAGGTCTCAACGAAATGAAACAACGCGAGCCTCGCAAGCTGCCGGAGAACACGCAGCTCCTGGGCACGGGCACAGCCGCCGACAGTGTGCTCCACAATATTGCCAAAAACGTGGATCTCTCTGACGATATTCTGTGCACTGGACCTCGCTACATGCCCGACGATATACGCTGTGCCACAGTAGCCAGTTTGGGGCATCACACCAGCGGTGTTTTGCGTAAGTATTACACTCACTCTTTTACTGGAATATATCCCACTAATTACAGTGCTATTCAACAGTCTTTGGCATCAACAAGGGACTGCGTCAGTCGAGTCGCATACAGAAGAACCGTCCGGTGCGAGTGTATCACGTTACTGGTCGCATGGGCACTGCCACGGAGAATCACCTGCCAGACAGCCGCATAACCGCGCGATCCAACCATAAACATATCTCTGCGGAAAGAATCAGTGGCCTGGCGGCCTCCATGCAGGCCTCGCATCAGAGGAAGATGTACGAGCTGTGCGGCGTCGACCTGCAAACCCAGGCTGCCTACGAGCTAGCCTGCAAGGGTCTCATTCGGCCAGCCGACAATAGTTTGCCCGTCATTTATGGCATCAAGTTGATTTATTTCGAACGGCCGCACTTTACTCTTGAGGTGCATGCCATCAATGAGACGCAGGAGTACTTGACCGCCCTGGTGCATGACATGGCGCTGGAGCTGCGCACCGTGGCCCATTGCAGTCAGCTACGATGCATTCGCCACGCCCACTTTGATGTCACTGACAGTTTACTGAGACATGGCTGGCATCTGCCGGGTATCGTGAAAAACCTGCGCCAGCAGCAGGAGATTTTGCGGGCTCATCCACAAATGTTGGAGCAAGAGCGTATAGAGCTGCATGCGTGATGATAGGAGATAGACTAGATTAAGATGATAATAAAGTATGTTTTATTCGGATAACTAGTCAATTTTCTGCTGTTGGTATTTGTGGGTCAGCATTAGTTTCTCCCACTCAAATATCTCCGCCTGCAGCTTCTCGTTCAGCTTCTTACCTGCCACAGAATCGAGTTCCTTTTCCAGCACATTCTGAGCCTCTTTAAGTCGCAGCAGGGCGTCTTCTAGCAGTGAAGAAGCCTGTGCGGGATTCCTGCGCGCCTGTTCCTCCAGGGTGTGGGCAATCTCGACGAGAATAACAGTCAAATAGATGGCCAGCTTAATGCTATAGGGATCCAGGCGACGACACACGTTGTACAGGTCGTCGCACAGGCGCAGCTTTCGCTCCAGTGTCCCGTCACTGAGCGAGCTCAGCTCTAGACCAACTTCGTTGCCATATAGCTGGATAAGCGTGTGCTTCAGATTGAACATGTGAAAGTGGTTTGGGTGCAGCATCTGCGTCAGACGGGCCAACGTTAGCTCGATCTCACTGGCCGAAGGGCGGCCGGCCAGCATCCTGTCCACCTGCTCCGTCATATGGGTTTGCAGCTCGGTCACGTATGACGTATCCATGGACATGGGGCATGAGTCGCATTTCCACTGACTGTTCTCGTCGACTGGATCCACGGGCAGTTGCTTGCCCCCACAGGACTTGTTGACATCTCCCAAGCAGGTCAGCGCACTCACATAGCTGCCAAACTCCGTGGGATCCAAGCAGCGTTCGCAGCCGCATTTGAAATGCTTGGTCAGTCGCAAATGATGCTGTCGCAGATGAGTGCCCCACAAGATGTTTGTGTAGGTGATCCTCAAGTGGTCGCCTTTCTTCAAGTCGCCGCCTGCCCTCACCGCGATCTGCATGGTAGTTCCGTCAAATTGAAAGTAGCAGTTGGGCTGGCAGGCGTGCTCCATCATGCACGCATTTCGGAACATTCCACTCAGCTCGATGCCCGTGGGCAACTCGACCACCATGTAGTTGGTCTCAATGATCCCACACAGCCGATGCAGCAGCTCAGGTTCGTAGTGCTCAAGGAGATCCTTCTTGCTCTGCTTGAGACGCTGCAGAAAGCGCTGAGTCAAGTAGCTAACAATTCCATCTTCTGCCTCCAGGTGGAGCTCAGTGCCTTTGCGTTCCTCTTCGTGCGACTGCATCTCGAGCAGATCTGCCCACTTATTCGGATCTTTGCGCTGAAGCAGTAGACACTTAAGCACAAGAAGTGCATCCCCACGGTAGAAATCGTTCAGTCCACGTGCGTCGGCCCTGGCAGACGGACCCGGACCCAGGCTGAGGACGCTGCACTCCAGGGCCTCGTGTTCGCAGGTAGAACTGCAGACTGGCCAGCGACAACTGTGGAATGAGTGGAAAAAATAAGCAGCTGTCTGCCAACGAAAACTCGCTGTGTACTCACTTGCGACACAGATGTTTACCCAAGCGACAGGGTGTGTAGCAGCCCACGCACGGCACGGTTGTGGAGGATCTCTCCCCCTCCGACATGTACCACTTTGGACCGACGACCAGCGGCTCCTCAACGAAAATGATCTGATTGGCCTTGATGTCCTGTGTGGCCACCAAAAATCGACCCAACACATCATCCTTCTCCTCTCGAATCGGTTTGCAGCAGCGTTTGTGGTCGGGCCAGTGTTGCTTCTGGTGTTCCTTGTTGCAGTAGCGCACAATTTTGCAGCGAGTGCAAGTCTGAGTGGCTGCCACTCCGCACACGGCACAGGCACATTCCAGGCTCCGCATGATGTATGTTATACACGGAATATGATTCCGAAACTGTTTAAATCGTTACGTTGGCAGCGATTCGGCTGTTTTTGTACGCAGCCGGCTGAGATTTGTGCTTATTTTTAGCGCGCTTCCCCCAAAACAAGAACACAAGAGTTGCCATACTCACGCAATTTCGTTCTCTCTCACTCTCTCTGGCTCGCTCTCTTTTTCCGACCCAAATAATGGTTTACATGAACTTTATTTCACATTTTATCCGATGCTGATTATAAAATTGAATCGTACAATACATTCGTCAATTAGAAACAGATTAAGTTTACATTACATACAGCACGTAGTTGCATTTTAAGGGGAATTGATCAATGCAGCCATAATATAAATACAATTGATTTAGACTTGATTGTACACTACAGTAGCTCTACAGTCTAGTAAGGATCTTGTGGCGCATCCAAGTCCCGGTAGTGTGATCTGTGTGATCGATAATCAAAACCACCGGGTCTGTAAGCAACGAGAATTGAAGTAATTTAGATATTTGTGGAATATTACATGTTTATTTATTTAGTCTATGGCTTTGCCCGTTTCGGCAACGTCATTCTAGTTAAGACGGTTTCTAAATACAATTGACAAAACATTGTACACGAAATCAGATAGCGGTCGGTTTTCATATATAAATCAGCTTTATAATTTGCATTGGATTGTTCTTTATCTTTCTCTTTCTCGGGAGCATTGCTGGAACTCAATGCTGGAAACGGAATCATCAGATCGGATCAGATTTCATTTTCATTTTGTTTGTGTACTTGGCAATGCATTTGGTCTAATCAACTAGTCAAATATATCGGAATTTGCGGGCGCATCCAAATCATGGTAACCGACAAGCCGGCGCTGGTGTTCCAAAGGCAATTCCCTGCAAAATATTTGCGACACAAGAAGATTGTGACAATTTTCGTTTTTAGACCAACAGAAATGAAATCAAAATATAGAAACAAAGACGTAAAAGTGGGCGATATCTAATCTTATCTGAGAGGCGACTAAAGGACTGAACAGGCGCTGTGGAGGCAACATCAAGCTGGCTGCTGGCCATTCCACAGCTCGGTTCAGTCATGATTCGAGTCAGTAATCATCCGACTGATGACATGATATGCCACCAAGGATGCAGGAATAGATTGCAAATGAAGCAAGGAGAAAGTGTAGATATATGCGTTAAACGGAATGCTCTCAGGGATTATAGTTGTGAAAACAACTACGAACGAACAACCTACGAAACTCCTTGAGGAGAAAGATTGTGGCTCGAATGAGAACCGAACCCATTCCAAGGGATAGCGCGCTTAGACTAAGAGTAGAAAGGAAAGGCACTAAAGGCTCAAGTACTAACCTGCGAGCGGGCGCAAAGTGGCGTCCACCACGGCCACCACCACCCATCATATGGCCTCCAAAGCCATAAGGCATTCCAGCCATTGGGGTATACATCGGCGGACGGTATCTGAAGATAAAAATGGATATGAATTCCGTTTAGATGAAATCCATTGCATGGCACTCACCCTCCGGGTCCACGAGCAGACTCCTGTTCAGGACGCTTCACGCTGCCGGGATGCTCTGGCAACTGTGGACGCTTTGGGTCGCGTAAATAGTTGTTGAAATATTGCACCTCCTTGCGGACCTCCTCGACCTTCTCCTCGTGCTTGTTGAAGATGTGCTTGCGGATGAACTCGGGTCCCTTGAACTTCTTGCCGGAGAGCGGACACAGCCACTTGTCCTTGGCGAGCTCCTGGGTGTTGGCCTGCACAAACTTCTCCACCTCGGTGTCGGCATTTTTGGCACCGAGATCTTTGATCTGTTCTTCGCTAAGCAGCGCTGTCTTGGTCAGAAATTGCAGCAGCTTACCCTCGTACGACTTGATGTACTCATTGAGCTCGTTGCTGGTCACACGTGAGGGAGCCGGGCCACGGGCGTGGATAATGCCACAGCGATTGGGCATCTCATCCTCGTACGGATACTCGCAGTGGTTGTAGTAGTCCACCGAGTGTACAACCCGTAGGTACAGCACCAGACGATCCAGCACCGACAGCAACTGTTCGTCGCGCTCGATGGGCTCGCCCTCACCGTCCTTGCGGTCGCCGGAGAGTCCCAAGAGCTCCTCCTCCTCCGCAGAAGCCTCTTCGATGAGGTAGTCGGTGATGTTCTGCAGCACAGGATTCTTCGAATTGAAGCCATAGCTGGGGCCGCTTCCATTGCCAGCTACCGCTGCTTCCGGGTCACTGGCAGGCGAGGGCTTGCTGAGCTGATTATCGGACCACAGCTTGAACTTCTCATCCAGATTCATGACGATCCGAGCGCACAACTTGATATCCGATCGCACCACCTGTTTGTGGGAAGTAATTCCGTTGGCTGGACGCACTCGCCGACTCAAGTCGCGATTGACAATGGCTCCCATTTCGCAGTCGCGCAATCGCTGATTGTTCAAGCTCCAGCAAATCTCTTTGATGTTGACATCGCGTGTGAACGTAATCCAGCCGCGACGATACCAACGACGTTCTACCAACGGATCTGCTATCGCCGTTCTCAAATATCCGCTGAAGCGACTGCAAAGGGCCTCAATCTCGGCCTTGGTTATGGTGGGAGCCAGGTTGCGTAGGAAGATCGAGGAGGTTCGGTGCATGGCCCGCGGAGTATTCACTTTGTCCAGGTCAATGGTTACTGGTTTCACCTCACCGGTTTCAGCGTCCTCCCCAGGCTCAGCTGCAGTCTGGTCTATCTTTGCGGCATCTCCATTTTCCTGTTTTTTCTCATCCTCTTCGGGTTTTGGTGATTTCTCTGCCTGACCGTCCTCTTTAGCTTCACCCTCGGCAGCAGGAGGATCAGCAGCGGGCTTCTCTGCGGATGCTTCCTCTTTGGGACTAGCTGATCCCTGCTTCGCCTTGGCTGCTTCTGCTTGATCCTTTTCTGCCTCCGCTTTCTGTTCGGCCCTCAGGCCATCCTCAACATCATATTTCGCTTTAAGCTTCTCGTCGTCCTCCTCTTCTTCGGAGGAGCTGGAGCTAGACTCGGACTCAGATGAGGAACTCTCCTCGTCGCTGCTGCTGTTTCGCTTGCGTTTCTTGATCTTCTTCTTCTTTTGCTTTTTCTGCGTCTGCTGGATGTCCGGAATCGGCTCGCTCTCTTTTGGCTCCTCCTCCTCCGATTTTTTGGCAGGCACAGGCGCAGCTTCCACTTCAGGTTCATCCCAGTTCTCATCGTCCGAATTTACTGGCTTCAACTCTGTACGCTGTGGCGAAACAATTTGCGGCATTTCTTCGTCCTCTTGCTTCTCTTTCTTGGGACTCTTGGGCGTATTTTCGACCATTTTGGCTGTGTCATCTGGCTCTGGCTTTCGCTCGAAGACAACCGGATCCTTGACTACTGGCTTCTCATCGAGAACCTTAAGATCCTCGTCGGTTCCCCCTTCCAGCTTGATCACACACGTATCCAAAACCTTGATCAGCGCATCGCTATGGGAGGAATCTACCTTGACGCTGCCAATGGTGCCATTCTCCAGAAGTTCCACAAACACATCTGTGCGTCTCTGCAAGGAATTGAAGGGAGAGTGTGATTTAAAAACCGAACACAAAGTGATTGTAGTTCATAATAATGCATACCCGCAGAAATCCGCGTTGCTCCTCTTTGCGATTCACACTGTCCTCGGGATGGTATTTATTCTTGAACCTGTGAAAAGACAAAAGATTTTTCAAGTGAGCAAGTGGTGGGGGCAAGAAGCACCAATTCCTGACGGTTAACAATTCTGCGCGTCAGTCGAATTTCTACATTTCGCTTATCCTTAGCTTATCCGGCTGTTGGCATTAGTTTTAGTTAATGATTTACTTGGTTTAGATAGCGATTGGTTTTTTGTTTGTTTTTGTTGTTGTTATTACCCAAAGTCTTACCTTTGATGGCTTTGCGCTTTCGTTATTTATAGGAATTGTGATATATGGTTATGTGGGCTTTCGCTCAACAATCGAATTGAAATAAATCGCGGTTTCAAAATATAAACACACCTCGGCATTGCTCGCCGGGTAATTACGACTTTAAGTTATATGAATATCAGACAGCAGCTCTGCAAAAGCGGCGCAGAGGCTCTCAGATAGGACTCTGTCTCACAAACCCAATAAGCTGAAGAGAAAAACTTAATAATATACAAACAGTTATGATTTGAGTGGCGCACAGGAAAACGGGGGGAAAACAACGCTAGGGATTGCATGGGGATGGTATAGATGGGAAGATATATGTAGATCAACCAAATGAAAAATGGAGTGCCCTGCATCAGCATCGGCATCGACGCTGGAAGCTCACTCGTCGTAGGAGTCCGGGCAGTGGGCTAGCTACTAACCATTCCTCATCCTTGTGGGCCACAAAGAACTCGTTCAGCTGCTGCCGCTTAAAGTCCGTCTTGTATTCGGTGTACTTGCGCATCACCTCCGAATCGGAAATGTTCTCGTCCTGTGTGTCCAGGAACTGTTTCAATGTCAGCATAGCCGGCTGAGTCAGTGTGTCTCCCCCTAAGATTGGTAGCTCTCGCACTGGCTGTGGGTGACTTGCGTGGTGGTACGCCGAGTGCATCGACTGATAGTGATCGGTCCACGCCTGCATCAGATAGGGGTCATAGCCTGCAATTCCGAATATAGTACAATCATATGTTCCGAATGGTTTTGTGAGCCAACATACCACCATATCGTGGACCTGGGCGTCCATCTCCGTCACCCCAGTCAGGACGCATACGTTTCGCTGGTGGCATCTCGCGGCCGGGAGAGCCGTATCGTGGCCGTGGACCTGGACCGCGGTAATCGCTGTAATCAGGTCGATGACGCTGAACACCTCCGCCTCCAGCACCTCCACCCCTGAAGGGATTGCTGTAATGTGAATTTGTACAGTTAAATGTCACCATTTGCCGGTGGTGCACTTACCGCTCCGGCCATTCGTCCCGGCCTCCGCCAGCACCACCTATGGGGCGACGCTCATCCCGTCGCTCCGTCCTATAGCTCTCGCGTTCTCCACGAAACTTGTCGCGCCGCTTGCGGTCGTATTCATCATCCGAATCAGCCATTGGTAGTTGTCTGAAACAAAGAACGAATTCCAAATTTAGTGAAAGTGCCTCGGCCATAACCTCAATTTTCTCCTACTTTTATTATCTTTTTCCAACTATTTAAAACAATTTTTCAGTTGTCACACATACAATCAATCACTTATTCTGGGACAGCAAAACTAGTCATTAAAAAATCTTTAGTTAATTAGTTTATGAACGAAAACACAAGCCGCCATCTTGCCGCTTGGCAGAAAACAAATCGCTTACGTGTTTTGGAAAATCTACGAATTCTTTTGTCGAAAACTATTGGCAAGTGGTCGCACTAACTTATGCATATTTAGCTAATTTGTTTTGTGTTCCCAGAATGAACGCTTACCTTGTTTTTATTTAAATTATACAATTTTTCTATTGTTTTTTGGTATTTGGCACGACGATGAATTAGGGCTGTCAAAAATATAAAATATATCGATATTTTTTACAATAAACATATATTTTTATCGTGATATTTGTTTCGGAAAAATATCAATATAAATGTATATTTTTGCGATATTTTTTGAAATGTTATCTTTGGTAACTAACCACTGGAACTAAATAGGGTTTATTGTATTTGGATACAAAAGTGGATGTACATATGTAACGCAGGGAAGGAAATCGGTTAGAGTGTGACCGCAGAATCATGTACCAACAGAGCCTCGGAAATATACCGAAATATACCGAAAACACCGAAATGTATTAGCCCACTACAGTTCCTCTATTTAAACAGATCTCTTTTCATTCAAAGGAACTGCGCTTCAAGTATCAAAATTTGATTCAAAAGATTAAACTTGTTAAATAGGACCCTCGGAACTGAATTGCATTCGAATGATTCGACTGAAAGAAAAAGAAATGCGCTCAGCTGATAAACTCTTTTTAAATATATAATTTTTATTTTATTACACGTTTCATATATCGTATATATATATATAGACTTTCTGTTGGATTTATATTGTATGTATATATTTACAACTTAGTTTTAGAACTATGCAAAGTGTTCGGTGTAGTCTAGACCTAAATAAATTTTTTATTTATGAAATTAATTTCAAAAAATGTAATTATACATACAATATACGCATTAACCTTGATTGCGCCCCCCGCTATACATAAGTAGCCGTGTCGATGCGCCAGGCCAGACCACTCGAGCCGAGCCGAGCCGAGCCATTAACCATTTATATAAACATTTCGATCCGTTCCTTCCCCAACTTAACTTAGCATCCTCCGACTTTGTAGTATAAAAGTTTCTTTTTTTCTGGTTGTATTGTAAGTTATTAGCAATAATATTAACTGTAAGTGAACAGATTTCCAAATAAGTTGTCAGTTTCGTAGACAGGAGTAAGTACTCGTAAGTATATCTAGATATATGTCCGTAAGAATTATATATTTATGCACCGTACGTTCTGAGAACAACAAGCAAACTTCTCACATTAGAGTTCCGAATATTACGCCAAATAATTAAGTATGCGTGTGTAGATACTCTTTGAATCGTTTAATCGGTTCGGTTTAAATGCTAACAATCTCTACATCTCTCTCATTATCATAATTGGTAAACGGCAACTCAAACAATGCGCAGTGTCTGAGGTTCTTGAGTGAATCGAACTGAAGGCTCGAACTGACCTCCCCATGTGGGGACAGTGGGCCTGACAGGGTAATCGAATGCTTGCTGGCAGTGTAGCATGGAAATCATAATGCAAGTGGAGATAAGGTATTCCTATGGATATATTCGCCACAGTTTTGAAGAATTAAAATCTGTTGCTCATCGCATTGTCCTACGTACATATTTTGTGTGTGTGTGTGTGTGTGTGTTCTTACGGGTTTCATTTAGAATATGTTTAATATTTGTATTTTAATTAGATTATCGGCTTTGCTCGGTTTGTATTTCGCGTTACACTAAAATGCCATCAAATCAGTTTTCAGTTTTGTATTTTGTATTCTCTAATTGTATTTTCGTATTTTCCGGGAAAAATCATTTACCTCTTCGAACCTTCGATTCGGATTGAATCGTGTGCGTTGTCAATACTTTTTATACGTACGTATGATGGGTTCTTCTGACTTAGAATATATATGTACTCGAAATCGTAGCCTGAACTGCATTAATAACTGTATATAAGTTGTATTGTAGATATTAATATTATCATTTAGCTTTAGATTACTGATTGCTATACATTGCAAATGAAATTTGACTTATGTGGCGTTCATCGTCGTCTCCAATCTCTATGTTTCAAAATGGCTGCGGTAACTAAGGGTTCCTCTGCATGGTTATTAGATCTCAATTTAGATTTGGCAGTGAGTAAAACTCAACTCAAAAAGCCTTCGTATGACTTTCGTTTGCTCCACATCGCTATACTAATGCAAGAACACCAAAATATCCTCTATTGGGGGGTTTCGTTTATGAATGTCTGTCTCTATTTGCGTGTGATTTACCATCTTCGGATTGCTGCCATCCAGGTACCTCTAAGAAGGCTTCCAAATAAGGTGTGAGAGTGCTTTTGAAAAGAATACTGAGAAGAGAAACGGAAACTATGTATAATGTCCATCATCCTATACACATTTTGTGTATGTATAATTTTCTTCTCTGCTGCTAAGGTCTCGCTTGTAGTTACATTTATTATTTTAATGCTCAAAACCTTTCGATCATGTTCCGTCTAATATTCCATTCTTCACTTCTGCGTCCACTTCTGCTTTTGTTTCGTTTGAGGTAGTTTTTCAATTCAGGATCAATATCTACAAGTCGAACACAAAAATGCTTGTGAGTGTGATTCAATTTAGCTTAGGGTTAGCTGTGTACATGGTATGGTGTGTGGTCATGGGCTCTACATAGTTAGGGCTAGTTATTGGGGGGAGGGGCAAAACAAGTTACAGTTTACACATAACAGAAAACAGTGCATAAAAATCAAACAAAGTCTAGTTGCTTCTCTTCCGCTCTTCCTCTCGAAATTTCAAGAATCTACATAACGATTTTGTTTCACGTTTCAGTTTTTGTTTCTGTTTCTGTTTCTGTTTCTTTGTCCTTTAACTTCATGTGGTACTTTATCTTTATTTTATCTTTATGTTTATCGTTTCTATGAATGGATTTCTCAACAAATTGTTACTTTATACCATACATTCTCGTTTTTTTTCGTAATTCATCAGGTTGCAGTTTTTGTATTTTTGTTAGTAGCATTCTTTGTTTTCGTACTCATACAGCGATAGCCATATCATATATCATATCATAATCATCATGTATGTACAGATCTTAGGCTAGGGGATATAATATTGTAATATTTCAAAAGGTTTAGCGTTAGCGAGGATCTATCGTGGGTATTTATTACTGCCTGTACCTATCCTATACTATATTCAACGTACTTTAGGGAGAAGTCGTCATCGACTGGGGCTCTGCCATATCTATTCATGTATAGGTAGCAGCACAATTTTATTCCATTTTTTACAATATAAAGCTATTTAATAGCGCCTCGTGTCTTTTGTGTTTTTGTTTAGCTGCTTGTAAATTATGATAAATCAATACAAAATGTTCCTTCCTTTTGTCCGCCAAATGTCCTCACTTCACTCTATTTGCCTGTCATTCTTAGCCAATTTTCACAGCCGTTTGCTTCGCACTTGCAAATCTTGTTCAAATTCTGAATTTCCAGCTCTTCATAAGTCTTTGCTCACATCCACCGCCACACTTTTCCGGGCATCTCTTTCCCACACTTTACCCCAGTCAGGATTATTCACAAAATTAAAAAATGTTCTTAGGAAACAGTTTGTGGGAAAATGAAAACACACAGATTTTGGTTTATGTTTTTTTTGTTTCTTTTTTGGAGATTTTCTTGTTGGTTTTCTTTTGCTCGTTTTCAACACATCTTCTTCTATATATATTTTGTATATATTCTGCTTGCTTTCGTATCGTAAAAAGGTAAAAACTATTTCCGCATTACGATAGGGTTTGCTCTTTACAGTATTCTTGTAAAACTACAAAACAAGGTATGCATATATATAATGTATCTGTATTGGTAGCTGTTATCGGTATCGGTATCTGTATATGTATATGTATATGTAGTGGTATATGCGTCGTAAAAATATCAATAATAATATTAATAATAAGAATCGAACTTAAACACAAACTTAAGAGCCAGCCTGATCGGGGAATCGATTCTTCGGAATCGGATCCTACGAGTAGTACGATTAAAGTATTCACTGATTTATGTTTTGTAATTAGAATTCACTCTTGTAAAGCAGTGTGCTCCTTTATTATATATCATATTTCGTTTTCGTGGGCTTCCCTTTCTCAGCTCTCTTCATAAATTAAATTTACTTAGGTTTTTACATGTTTTAGTGTGTGTTTATGGGTGTTCATGGGTGAATTCGGGGCCTGTGGGTGTATGTGTAAAATATAAAATTAAATTAATATTAGTAGTAAAAATAAAAAATTGCACAATTCAAGTTGAAAGCTACGTAAAAGTCCACTTAAAAACTTTACATTATTTTATTTTAGTACTTTACAATCGCTTTCCATTTTGTATTTTATTTTTTTGTAGCTACTAAAATTAGAATAAATTTGATTTAAGTTTAAATAAGGCCAACAATTTGTGTTAAAATTTTGTAAATGTAAAAAGTATATATAAAAAATGTTTGGAAATAAATTGCATTCAAATTTTGTTTAACATAATAGATTGCCGAATAAAAACTTTGCACATTTTTGTTTAAATAAATTTTGATTACATTTTGTTGCTCACACAAGTTTAATAAAATGTTTAAGGTAAATTTTAAAAATAAATATTGAAGTCTTTTGGTGTGTGTACGCGAGTGTGTCTATGTGTGTGTGGTGTCCGAATGATTGAATATTACTTGCCAGCAAAAAAAAAGATGTGAATTGTACGATCTAAAACCTTTATATGCGATGGTTGCTTCTTTTTTAATCCAATCACTTGAATTTCCTTTCTAAAGTTCTCGTTATCAAAAGTGTAATGTTAAAAAAATGCCTAGAAAACGACGCCAATTTCAAAAAGGATTATTGTATTCGTGTGGGGAAAACTATAAGAATTTCTAAACTTTAAAAAATTTACATGCAAGGAGGGTGTGACGAAAATGGTTTTGCGTTCTGTTCTTACGTTTGTGTTGCTCTTTGTTTTGGGTGATATATTTTTTACAGTTTCCCCTTCGCTATGATTAAAAAATATCTATAAAATCAGTCCAAGTTTTGCGTGTTTTTTTTGTTTGTTTTGTTTTTAGAGTTTTGTTATCTGAATTAACTTAGGTTTGCTTTCTTTTAGTTGTTTATAAGTGTTATTCTGAATACAAGGTATTATTTTGTTATACCTCTTCACTAAACAGATCTATGCGCTCCAAATGATGTTAGCTTTACAGTTAGGGTTAGGTATTATACAGTTGCGTTTCATTAAGTGTACAGTTATCGTTATCGTTATTGGTAATAGTTATTATTTTATATATTTTTTAAATATAAACAATCTTTACTCTCTTCTCTCTGCCACACAACCCTACTCTCCTCTACACTCTCCACTCTCCACTCGCCTCTCTCTACTCTGTTCGAAATGGAGGACGATTTCGATATCGAAAAACAAAATTCGAGAATTGACTGTGAGGCGGAAAAAAATCTGCCACACGATCCACATAATTTTTTCATTTGTTTCTCCACTCAGTGTGTGTCTCTTCCTCTCTCTCTCTCTCTCTCTCTGTCGCTGTCGCTTTTCCATTCATCTCTCTCCTCTCTGTTTTTGTTGTTGTTTTTTTAGCATTTGTGTAATTGTTAATAATTTGTTTATCGGTTATATTGTACGGATAATGACTTATTGCTAATATTTGCAGACTTAATAACTAAATAACTGCATTTTACGCTTGTCCTTCAGTGATCCCTCCCTCCGTCTGGCATCAGGATCAGGAGCAGGCATCCCATCCCCCCTCTGATGATCGGGATGTCTGTGAGAGTGTGTTTCAGCTGCCTTTCCTTGTCCTAGTCCTAGCTCTAGTCGAGCAGGACTCCACCCACCACCTCATGCAGGATGGTGTGGTGGTGGTGCTGCTGCTGATGGTGGAGCAGGGGCTATGCCGTCGTCGAGTGTTCCGACTTGACCGCCACGCCGGCGACTAGCTGCTCCTGATGCGGGTGCAGCGGTACGCCCATCAGTGCCATGGCCGTCTGGGCATTCGCGTACATGCTGACGGGCGCCCCGTTGCCCACCGTCGCGGTGGTGGAGCTGGCGGGCACCGCCGCCGTGATGCTGGTGGAGGAGGTGGCTGCTGCTGTGGTGGGGCCCATGGCTCCGCCACCACCAACGCCGCCGATGTAATCGCTGCTGGTGCTAACGGCCGACACGGATCCGGAGCTGGATCCCGAGCCGACAACGGAAACGGACACAGAGGCAGTGGCGGGTACAGAGACGGAGACTGGGGCGGAGGGAAGTGGCAGAGGCAGAGGCAGCGTCAGAGACAGAGGCTGAGGCTGAGCCTGGGGCTGGCCCTGGGGCTGGGGCTGGGGCTGCGGTTGGGGTGCCGACAGCGGCAGCGTGTGATTGGGCAGCGGATGGTGCTGATGCTGATGGTGGGCGGCCGCCGCAGCCGCCGCCTGTGAGGTGGAAGCAGAGTCGGCATCGAGTCCCGCGGCAATGGCACCACCTACGGCGCCGCGCATGCGTTCCGCCCGCACCATTCGCTCGTTTTCCTCCTGCTGGGCCTGCAGGTGTGACTGCACCGAGGGCGGGATGGCATGGACGTCCCAGATCTCTTCGAGGAACTTGGGCAGCTTGCGGTTCTTGAGCTTCAGCGAGAAGCACATCTCGGCATTCTGGTTGCCCAGCGTGCGCAGCTCGGTAAGGATGGAGAGGAGCTTGGCGAAGAAGACGAGGCTCATGGTGTCGCCGCAGTGGCGATTGAGTATATAAATGCGTAGCGTGTCGATGTAGTAGCTCTGTATCGCCTCCACCAGCTGGGCCTTCTCCAGGCCCGGCCGATCCGAGAAGATCACAATGGCAGTGAGTAGCGCATACTCGACGTTGTCCACCTTCATCGAGAACATCTGGCGGCAGAAGTGCAGCAGATCCTCAATGTTATCCGCCATACCAGCCATTTTGTAAGAGTCCCGGGTGTACGACCGATTATTCGCAAAGAAGATCGAGTCTGAATTGTGATCGTAGCGCCGCGCCATGCGCAACATCATGACCTCCGATGAGCAAGCCTTAAAGGAGGAAGGGAGAAAGGGAGAAAGGGTGTTAGTTCCCTCAATCTGCATCGTAATTGAGTGGTGTTGGGGTATACTCACCTTCAGTAACGTGATCTGATCCTCTTGGGGTATCTTTGTAAACGCTGGTAGACCTTTAGCAAACTCGACAATCAACTGAACCGTGAGTATGGTTATCTCGGTGATGTGTCGAAAGCTGACATCCGTTTGGCTCTCGTTCTCATCCGGGGTGCTCTGAGAGTGAGAAATACAAAGAATCCATTAGAATCTATTCCCTTTAGATGGGGTTTCCTCCTTCTACTCACCATTATACGCCTGAGATCCTCTTCGGATGGCTGCTCGTAGCCATCCTGATACCAAATAAGCTTATATATAACGGCCAACTGATTGTACGTTAGTGGAGGTATATTGCGCGCTTGACACTTGGCCAAAATATCATCAGGTAGTAGCTGTAAAAATAAAAGAGAGATCAGTCAGGCATCAATTGTGGCATTCCCATCCTGTGTACTTACCGGAATTGTGGCATGCTGCGGCGCCTCGCATGTCATCAGATCGAGAATCTCCTTCTTCACGTAGTCGTGTGTGCCAACGACGCTGCCGCCGCCAACGCTGGAGCCGCCACCCACACTATTACCCCCGCCATTGCCACCATGCTGCGAGCTTGGGGAGGTGGTCATCTTATCCTTCTCCTTCTGTGCCTTCTTCTCGCGCCGCTTCATCGCACACTGATTCTCGGGCACCACGCACTCCGGCCGCATGCCCACAGCCAGGCACTTCTTCAGGCGGCACTCCTGGCACTTTCTCCTCATGTACATGTCCATCTCGCACGCACGTCCAAACTTGCAGCAGTAGACGGCGCTCTTGGTGACGCTGCGCCGAAAGAAGCCCTTGCAGCCCTCGCAGGTGAGGGCATTGTAGTGGTAGCCGGAGGCCCGGTCACCGCACACGAGGCACAGCTCCTCCTGCACCCGCGGCGCCGGACCCTTCTTGCTCTTCTTCGCATCGCAGCCCTCGTTCGCCGAATATCCGTTCAGGCTGCTCGAGGGCGAGAGATCATCGCGACCTGTAGGGGGGTAAGGAAAAGAGAAAAGATCGGATTTAGTTATCTCTTTCTCTTTCTGTGTGAAGTCAGAATGTTTAAAAACTCTTCCATAAAACATAAGAAACCCAAATAAATAAATTTTCCATTTGTTATTTTCGAGTTCTATGTGCTCCGAGCGAACATTTGCATTTTTCTTTGCTAAACTCCAATTCCGATCATCTGTGTGTGCGTTTCTGTATCCGATAACAGACAAAACGGGGCTTGGCTCTGTCCACCCTCCCTGCCACACCACACCACCACACACACTGTGAGAGAACACAAAATTTAAAATTCAATTAACGTTGTCGCTCAAAGTCACCGTCACCGAAATGAAGCTGAAAAGTCTAAAGTCAACACTGAAATCCGCCATGGATTGGCATGGAAGGAATGCTCGGCTGGATGGAGGTTCGAGACCCATAGAAAGGCCCACCAAGGCGAGTTCCATGATCCAGTTCTGGGCGAATTATTCAGAAGCAAAAGCATCCGATTACGTTTTCCACAAACATATCAAGTGATGTGGATTCCATGTGGAATCTATTACACAGCAAACGGTGTGGCAATATTTTCAAATATCCACAGATTCCGATGGTAATTCTTCCCACACATGTACTTTGAGTTTCGCCTGTAATAAGTTCTGTAGCAACCAATCGAGTCCCGTTATCGATTATGTTTGGACAGATTTCTGCTGCTTAACTTCAGGGTGGTGTAGAAGAGGGACGTGGGAGTTGGCGAGCTATGAATAGCGGGAGTTTCGGAGATACATTATACAAATAGTCACGTTCCACACAAAAGGAGAGAGAGATAAAAAGAATATCAAGTGCAAGTTTCCCCCACAAAGACACTAACGACAGGAGTGCAGGAGCACAGGGTGTAGGAGCGGGTATGGTGGCGTGGTAAATGGGTGTTGGTGGCACATAAGTGGATAAAAAGATACGACAAAGAGGCGTGTTGCCTCTGCAACTGCAATGACAATGACAGTAGAAAGAGAGGGGCAGTGGCAGTGGCAGATGGCAGACAAGACGCAACTCGGCTTAGACACTTGTCTGAGCAGTGGGGGGGCAGAAGTAACACCAGGCGAATCAGAAGAAGAAGAAGCCAAGAAGCGGCAAAGACGCCACTTGGCCAGAAGTGCGCCACAGCTTTTTCCCCGCTTTCCCAGCTCGCTCCTTGTTCTGCCTGCGGCAACTGTTTGTGCTTCTATTGCTTCTCATTTTCCTTTTTTCTCTTGCCACCTCATCCTCGTTCCAACTTGCTGCCACACACTGCAGCCGAGTGCAACGCAGTGCATTGTCGGCCTAACACACTTTTCCACTGTCCAGCCCCCCGCTGCAGCCACTCTCTGGAACACCCCACACACCCCGTCTCACATTCCCACAAACATTCGCCTTAAATCATTGCTCATACAAACGCCCCGCTGTCTTGTTCTTCGAGTCCACTGTGGGCTGCAGCCGAATGCAGCGCCGCCTGCAGCTACTTTCCCTCCAACCAAACGACGTCGCTGCGTCACTGCGTCGCTGCATTGCTGGCGTTTCAATTTCACTGCCACCGCCAGGAAGAGGCAGAGGTGAAGGGGGAGATGGAGAGGAAGGAAAAGCGATAGCAAAAAGAAAAGAAAATGAAATAAGCGACGGCGTCAGGCAAACTTTGTCTGCTCCAGCGACTCGTGGAAATGTGGAGGAGACGCCACCATGACTGCATTTTCACTGCACTAAAGCTCTGTGTGTGTGAGAGTAGAAATACACATGTATGTAGATGTGTATGTGGAAAATCGCTGTGGCAGCAGGGAAATCGTGTAGCTAAAAGTAAAAACCTGCTGCTACTGGCCAAACGACTCTCCTCTCTCCCAGCTCTCCCCTTGACAATGGCAGGCCTTGAATGAAATGAGAAAGGGGTGAGATCTCCAACGATCCCATGGATCATGTTTGTTGGTTTTAGAGGAACTGCATTATCTACTTTATGACTGCATTTATTACTAAACAGACGCCACCATTGATATGCATAATGAACGTTTGGCTTCGATGGAAGAACACTCTTATACCCTTGAGGACGTTTTGATCCATTCCTGGCAGTGTCGAATTATACCCTCTTAAAGGGTATAAACAGCAAAAAGACACACACATGCACAGTGGAGCCACATTTAATTGTTCACTGATGAAAAGACAGTTTCACGCAATGCAAGAAGGGAGTAGAGAGATGGGCACAAGAGCAAAGTATAAAAGGAAAGGGAAGGGGGAGCAAGTGGAAAGCACAACAGAACGAAGCGAAACGGAACGAACGCCATGAAGTAAGAAACAAAGGCAGAAGCAGAACCAGAAACAGAAAAGCAGAATGGATGCATGGGAAAAAAACGTGGAAGCCAAAACGGCAACACAACACAAAAGACACCCACCCCCGGGAGGGAGGTCCACCCATCTCGTTAGCCTCTCGCGCCGAGCCGTTCGCCTGCCCTGGCCCCCTCCGGAGCTTCCACATTTGGAGTTCATTGTGTTATTGTGCTTGCTCTCTGCCGCCGCACTACATACCCACATAATCCATGTAAACTGAGGCAGTGGCAGAGGCAGCAACCATTGCTACGGCCAAACACAAAAGCAAAACTTTGGCCAGAGAGCAGAGGCAGTGGCGGCTGCAGCCAGAGCAAAGACAGTGCTGCGACCGTAGCTTTATTCCCGCTAAATAGATGTGCAGCAGAGATTAAGAAAAAGTCAAAAAATAACCATTACAATGTTAAGGTAAATGGATTTGAGGAGTACTATTATTGAGAATTTTAAAATATTCACGCATTTTATAGGGGTCGCACTCTTTTTCCAATTCCCACAAAAAACTGAATCTAGCTCTAGCCGAAAAAATGCAGCTAGCTCTAGCCAGTGCAGCAGCACCACCAGAGGAGCGCTCTCTTGCATTTGCTTGAGCGAGCTCTCTCGCTCTCTGACAATGCACTCTCTCGCTCTCGCTGTGTCTCCCTCTGCCTGCACTCTGTACGCGCCCTTGCTCAACAAAAGCTAAAAATGTTGATGTAGGCCTCGAAAAATATGCAGTTTGCCTTTGGCATTGCCACTGTCACTGCAAGCAGCGCTGCTGCTGCTGCTTCTGCTAACGTTGCCTCTCTCTCTCTATTCATCTCCTGCTTCCCTCTCGTGCAATGCAGTTCCACGTGCTGGTGTGTGCGCGAGTGAGAGAGGGAGGTGGTGGGGGGCTATTGCATGTCGCACACTCTTTTTCAGCGTGGTATAGGTAAGTTCTCCCTTCTGCTGCTGCTGCTTCGCGTCTTCCTCTGCAGCCCCCACTGCCGTTTGCGTGCATTTCATTTTATACGGTCTTTTCTGCATTTTATTTCGCACATTTTTATTTTGTTTTTGTGCCTGGCAAAGAAATGAAGCTCTTTCTTGTTGCTGTTTTTGTACTTTTCTGTGTGCTTCTCTATTCTAAGGCAGCGTTTCTCTGTGTGAGTGTGTGTGTTTGTGCTTCTGCAGCAGTGCAATATTTTTAAGCGGCTTGTTTTTTGTGTATGCATAAAAAAAGAGAGAAGAAAGAAGAACTGTGTGGAGCGGAGCAGCAAGCTATAGGAGAGCTAGGGATGGGGCCGGACTCTGTGCAAATAGCGCCTTCTGTTGCACTGAAAAGCAAAACAAATAAAATCCATTGCCGCTCGCTCCCACACACCTCTCTCCCAGCGGCGTGCATTTACTCCACCTCTCGGATCCCCATCGTACAGGGTATATATTAGTCGAACGAGGGAGTCGATGTTGTAGCAGGCGACGGGGAATGGGGTGCAAAGTTTGCTTGTACGATTTGCAGTTGGTTTTTTATTTTTTTTTGTGGATGTACGATATGAAAGACAAATATATATTTCTCTTATTCATACAAGCAGAGGGAGAGATTGAAAGAGAGAAGGGAAGTTTAAGCCTTAAAGCTTTTCTCAAATATCCCAAGTGTTGAATTGTGGTAACCATCGATTACAAGGTGGAACGCTATTCATTACATTTCTCAAATAAGGGTACCACTCCTTCCTCAATAATGCCCATACATATTTATAGAGCCAACTCCTTCAATGGGTTGGCTATGGCCAGGGGTTGCTCCGGCATGGACTTGGAACTGCCTTGATTTTATGGCTTTTCCTTGGCGCCACATTCATTGTGGACATCATATATCTTGCTGCAAATCATCCAGAATTGTTATTTATGTCATTTTGGGGTTAGAATTGCATGGCAAAAGGGCTGCAAGGGGACTGTAGAATGCAATTTACTTCCGTTTGGTTTAGTCTTGAGAAGTAGACAGAAATATTGTTCACTCATTGTGTATAAATTATGAACTCGGCTGCTTAGCCTAACACAGCTTAAATATTTATCCATTATTGCCTCAAGTTTCTCTTTCATCTATCCCATTCCCTCCCCACAAATCCAACAACTACCATTTTTGAATCTACTTGGATACATAAGGATCTACATACATAATAAGTCTAGCTCGGAGTCGAGTCAAAAATCATTGACACATTTTCTGCATATCCTTTGTATATTTTGTTGACCCAGGGCCTACGAAAGCATTGCAGGCCGATTACATAAGCGAAAGCCGACGACCCTAAATCAAAACACATTGAGAGGGCCCAAACAAAACTAACCACCAAATACCAGTGGGGAGCTTTGCCACTCGGGCAGGGCAGATGGCACCCTGGGGGTGTGTATCCACCTTGGCTTTGGCTTTGGCTGTGGCTGTGGCTGTGGCTTTGGCTTTACAGCCTTCAGCTGTAGGATGATTTGTGATGGCCAGCCCGCCCCAGTAGTTAAGACTAAAATCAACAAATGCCCACAGTCCAGCACCAAGCACAGGGAGCTGATGGCAGTGCAGTGCTAACGGCAAACGTACATGAATCTAGAGCTGAAAAACTGTACCAAAGCCAGCGCATGTCCGATGCACTCTTCTCTGCAGTTCTCTCCTTGGGTCTCTCTTTCGTTCTCTCTCTCTCTGTTGTTTGGGGTTGCACACGT